ACTAACAACAATGAGAAAGTCCTATATTGATTGGATTACCAGAAGTTAACAATTATGCACATAAATATATTAAAACTAACTATTTATTAAGTTAGGTGTATCCTAATTGATCTACAGTGTTATTATTATTATATTTTAATTCATTGTCATTATAATTTTTGAAAAAAGTAAAAACAACCTAATTTATCATAAAAGTGTTATTTAAATAAACAAACAATTTATTTTAACACGCGCACACACACATAAGTTGCTCAAAGCAAAATAATAATTTCATCTTTGGTAGAAGGAGATAAGGGGCGGGCTTACAATAAACTTGATTGTTCAAGGAAGGATAGGGCTGGTTAACAAGCTGATTTCGAGATGACACTCGAAATCAGCTCGAATGGATTGGGTTTGACTCGAAATTATCTCATTACTCATTATATTCGATTTCAAGCCAACCCGACTTGACACTGAATCGAGTGTGTTCCGTCTCAAAATTGAAACGACCTGGCGCAAATTTGAGTTTCTTGGATTTATTTTAGCTCAAATCAGATTGTAGTCAAACAAGTTGGCTCAATTTAAGTTATTTGGATCTGTTTTAGCTTGAAATCGACTCGTAGCTTGTTATATTTAATTTTATTTTGCATTATATACAACTTTTATAAATTAAAAAATAATTCGAGTCGATCTCGAACCAATTTGTGTCGATATGTGTATGGCTATAAATCAGCTTGAAAAAAATTTGATCCAATGTTTTGGATCATATCTCGACTCATTTATTTCGATTCGAGCTAAAATTCGAATCAATTTTTGAGTGCTTAACGATCTTCCAGCTAAGGCCCCATTTGGGGCGGCTTACTTCCCACGGTGCGGTGTGAAAATGTTGAGGTGTGTGTTTGGTGACTGTGGTGAGACCACTTATTTGAATAATTTATATGAAACATGGGTCGTGGGGCTGCGATACACATTTCTTCGCGATTCGTTTACGGGGCTACATTGCTTTATTGTTCTGCACACCACTCACTCGAGCCCTCCTCTCTCTCGTGATTGTTGCCCTAACTTTTTTCTCTCGATCCCCTTGGATCCATGGCTTTGATGGGTAGGGCTTGGTTCTGTTTGGTTCCGTTGGTTCCAGTGGTTGTTGCGTTGAGCTTGCCATTTTTCCTCTCCCTCTTCCCTCTGTTCTTCGGCTTGGTTTGGATCATTGGGTCTCCGCTTTCTGTGCGGTGGTCCCCCTCTCTCCTCCCTTTGTTCCGATATTCTTTCTTATATATGCGAGCATTTTGATTTTGTAAATATCTGTGTAATGTTTTTTTGGGCTCTTTGTGCTCTTATCATTCAATGGTTTTCAGTTGATGTTGGATTTTGAGTTTTTTCAGATTCTCTATGCAATACACTATTGATGATTTTGGTTCTTTATACTACATCCAGTTGATGGATTCACTCTCTCTTTGTTCTATTTGATTGATGATGTCCGAAATTTGATGGTGGTGGTGACTGCATGTGAAAAATAATTGTAAATGCAAATGGAATTTAGATGGAAATGTAAATTAATTGATGTTGTTGCCCTAAAGTCGGTTGATGTTGCCCAAAATTGGTGGAGGTGATGGTGTGTGGTGTTGTGTGTGGATGTGTTGGTGTGTGTGGTATGGAGGTGGTGGTGTGGTGTGTGGATGTGTTGGTGTGTGGATGTGGAGGTCGTGGTGTAGGATTCTATGGTGTGGAGGTAGCGGTGTGTGGTGTTGTGGTTTGTGACTGAGGTTATGTAGTGTGGATGTGGTGGTGTGGTGTGTGGATGTGTTGGTGTGTGGTATGGAGGTGGTGATATGGTGTGTGGTTGTGTTGTTGTGTAGATGTGGACGTGTTGTAAGGTGGTGTGGTGTGGAGGTGGTGGTGTTGTGTGTGGAGGTGGTGGTGTTGTGTGTGGAGGTTGAGGTGGAGGTGTGTGGTGTGGAGGTGTGGAGGTGTGGAGGTGATAGTGTGGTGTGTGGAGGTGGTGGTGTGGTGTGGGGGTGGTGTGTAGGTGGCGGTGATGAGATTATGATAGTGCTATTTTTCTTTAAGTTGTAATAATTTTTTTATGACATATTTATGTTGATTGGTTCTTTTCATGCTAGTAATATAATGATTATGACTAAAGAAGCCGATCCGTCTGCTATGTGGGATAAAGATTTCAAAATAATGTTTTGCGACCTTTGCCTTAAGGAGGTCGAATTGGGAAATAAGCCAACAATCTATTTAACAAGGAGAGCTGACAAAATATTATTAAAAAATACAAGGAAAGGATAAACATAAAGTACGATAGGAGACAATTAAAAAACAAATGAGACCAATTAAAAAAAATTGAAATATTTGGAAAGAATTGAAGTGAGGAACCACGGGCTTGAGTTGAGATATAATAAAGCGAATAATTGATGTTTTGGAGGAACGGTGGACTGAGAGATTAGATGAGCAGTTATGAAACGTCCTCTTCTTTTATCAAATTTTCAAATTTTTTTAGATGCATCAACATATTCATCCTCTATGACTTTGTATGTGGTGCAACTTGCTAAAAAGTTTAAATTCAGTGGCATTGAGCCTGAGTTGGAAGAGAATTTTGACAGTATTTTTGGTGTAGTCGTGGCAACCGACAATAATGCATGGGCCCCTAGTGAGGGAGGTTTGTTGGCATCGCTGAAAATCTAGATGCTGAACAAACATGTGACTCCAATGGAGGCCCTAGCTCGAACCTTAATGAAATTAAATCTACCAGTCGATGAAAGCTTTCTAGGCTTGAGAAAAAGAAAAGGTGCTGCTTTCATTAAAAGTCAAATTTCACAGTTAGTTGCTTCATGCACCAATGACCCAAGCACATCACAAACAACATTCATTCAACAAGTTATGCAAATTCTGGAGGCAACTCCATAAATATATGACATGTCATTATATTAGTTCTTTATGAAGCTGCTCGAAGACCCGACCTGAAGATAGTTTTTTATGAAGGTGACTCTTGACCATAGAATGCACTGTTTACGTTATTTTCATGAAATAGGAACACTTGAATTTCATTTTATTGTATTTGGACATTTTATATCTACTTTTTGATGGGCCACTGTCCATGCTACTTTGGATATTTGATTTTTCATTGATACGCAGTTAATGTTGCTTTAGTTTTTTATTTTTCATCGTAATGTTTGGTATTTATTTTTCCAATTTTATTTACAATTAGTGTTTGTTAAAAAAAATTATCTAATAGCAGTTAATTCAGTGATTCTTATGTATTAGCTACATGGGCTCTGAAAAACATAGATGCAAGTAGAAAATGACACAGAAGAAGAAGAATTACAACTGTGGTGTGTTTGAATTATGAATATTATGACTTATACATAGCTCATTTTTCTTGCATGACATCTTTATACATTGGTGATAAGTGGGTTGAGGAGTTGCTTGTAGTACAGTGAACAAAGTTCAACAATATATTCCGTATAACACAGCCCGTATTCATTGATCTCTTGGAAGAATTACATATGACAGATTTGTTAGTTTATTTTTCGTTCTCTGAGAAGTGACAACTAAATAAAACTTTAATTGATTATTTATATTATTCATTTTCATTAATGTTGTATATAAGGGTATTTTTTGTGGTTTTAAGCTCTTCAGGAAAGATGAGTTCAAGAATTTTTGGCACCTTCACAGCTTTGTACTGCTATTGTAGACTAAAATGTTCTCAGTTTATTTTGTGACAGTCACATTGTTACGGGAGACAATTTTATAGGTATTCGAGGAGAAGAACATAATACTGACTTCTTTTAGTGAGTGGATGTTGAAGGAATCTATTGTCGATAGTGATCGAGCGTGGAGAGTTTCCTTGGAGGACGACTTATCTCGTGACATAAATCTAGCACATTTTAAAAATAATATTATTATATTATTAATTATTATTTTAATAATTCTTTTTTAATTTTGATTGTCGTGCTACTCACCTTTTAGTGAGGGGTCTATTTTTATTTTGTAATGTTCAAACTAAATATTTATTTTTAGGTATGAATTATATGAGTATGAACAGTTCTGTTATAGGCAACACTATAGTATGGGGGTGGAAATATCATTTGTTTAGAAATAGATGCAGGACAACTGTTTTAAAACTGCAAAAAATAAACAGACAATCAGCTGAATTAGGCATGCTTGTCCCTAAAAACTGCAAAATGTGTTGACAACTGTTTTAAAACTGCTAATTCAGCATGCCTTATCCGCAACAGCTTTTGCACGGAAGCTTTCTGCCTAACTGCTGCTCAGTAGAAGCTTTTAAATAAGTTGCAACTGTCCCAAACAGACCCTAAATTTACAGCTCTAGGGAAGGAGGCTTGAAGGCTGCCATTGAGAGATGAAGGTGAGAAGGGCTTTAGGAGGAAAGGGGATTCAGTCACTTGCCTTCAGCTTGGTCAAAGGAGAGCGGGGTGAGGAGAGAGATGGACAGAGCTGTAGAGATTGACAGCTCATGCAGGGGGAGATCTGTGATGCATTGGCCCTTGCTTTCTCTTAAATAGTGAAAGGAGGCAATGTGATTGACCAAAGCGGAAGGCGGCAACCAGAGAGAAGCTAGCGAAAAGAAAAGGAAGGAAATGAAATTCATCGTGAAAGGTCATGCTAGGGGTAATTCAGAAAGGCGGTCTGCACGGCTCGATAGCTGGAGAAGGAGAAAAGGAAAGGGATTGCGAAATTCCTGCGATTCCAGAGAGATGGGAGGCAATAGCGGGAAGGAAGTCGCTTGATTTGGTTCATACACTTATAGGCAGCTGGTTGAAATCCAATGTTATTTATTTGAATATTTTTATTAGATGGTATATCTAATGGCGTAAACTCAGAGCAGATCTATGGATCTTTATTATTTTTATTGTATGATGTAGACTGATTTTTGTTGTCGTCAAGGAAACTTAGTTTCATAAGATTAATATTCACAGGTATTAGATTGTTTTCTAAACACGTTATTGTATTTTTGTGCCATATGCAATCCTTCTTAACTTCTTTATCTTTTCCAGGACAGAGTTATAGTGTTGTCCTTCCTGAGAAGTTGCAGACTGGGAAGTGGAACGTATACAGGTGCTGTTCTGGGCATCCAATATGAAGCCATTTTGGAGTTTAATGTTGGTGATTGTCATCAATCATCCTTTATTTTTCTGTTAGCAGATCTGCTCGTTCACCATTGAAACTGGTTGCTAGATATCCAGAGCACCCGGATATTGGAACTTTACACGATAGTTTTGTGTAAGCTTGTTCACGCTCACAATTTAAGCTCCATTTTTATCCAAAAAGCTCTATAATTTAATCAACTTTGAATTTAATTCACCAATTTCATCATCTATATGTCTCTACTTCCTTTACTAGTTTGTTCTTGTTCTTTTTTATTTTCATAAATGTACATGTGTTCTCTAAGTGTGGTGATGTTTATTAACGTTCAGGAAATTTGCTGCTAGGATTTTTTTTTGAACAATTAGTTTGATCGTCATCTAGTTATACTTCATTTAATATTTTGTCTTAAAGTATTTGTGTGTTAATCTTTTCATTAATATTACCGAGCTTTCTCTTTTTTTTTTCACTGGAAATTTATTGACTCTAGACATGCTGAATTAGGCATGCTGTCAACACATTTTGTGACCACAAGTATTTAGGGACAAGAATACGTGCCGATGGAACAGTTGGGGAGTAAGAACTTGTTTTTCTTCTTCTTATTCACTATGCTCTGATATTTTAAGCCTTCTGGCTAGTTTTTTGCCATTGGTGTTATTATATATTTAACCTTCGAAGGTACAAATGGATGACTTACGGGGAAGCAGGTGCATCAAGATCAGCAATAGGCTCTGGCCTAATATATCATGGGGTTCCTAAAGTATGTTATTTATTTCTGAAATAATATTTCTGTTCTCTCTACATCACTCTTTTCTTATGGTAAAGCATGTAAAGTAAATACTAAATAATAAATACCAATCCATCTTTTTTTCTAATAGCCATATTCTAACTTAATGAGGTAACCATATTCTAATTGTTTTCTTATTCAATGTGTACCAGCATGCATGCATTGGATTATATTTGATAAACAGACCAGAGTGGATCATTGTAGACCATGCGTGCTCAGCTTACTCTTATATATCAGTGCCATTATATGATACTCTCGGTATGACTGTGCGCTCTAAAAGTTAATTATTTTTTTTTAAGGGGCCGGTAACCCTCCCCTTCTATCTAGAGTTCTACATATCGAGATGCACCTCCATATTTGTTGCAGGACCAGATGCTGTGAGTTATATCGTGAATCATTCTGACATACAAGTTATTTTTTGTCTCCCACAAACACTGAGTAATGCAAGTGCTTTCTAGGAATTTATTTGTTTTTGCCCATTTGGAGCATCTTTATACTTCAAGTAAACTTTTTTTTGAAACATTTTTTACCTTTTTTGTTTCGACAGTTATTAAGCTCTTTACACAGGATTCCTTCATTACATTTGATAGTGGTTAGAAAACTTGCCATGCCTACTATAGCTATTTTTACTATTAACAATGCTGCCAATTCTATCTTCTATCTTATTGTAATGATAGGTAATTGGGTCATCAGACGACAAGATTCTTTTAGCTACTTCAACAAACAAGCCGAAGATTATTACTTACGCTAAACTTCTTGAGCAGGTAGCCATTTTCAACAATGCAGCTTTTATTTTTGTTTGTTTAAGAATTCATAAGTGAACTATATAATGTATCTGATGAGGTTGCATATTCCTTAAATTTATGGCTATGTTGTGAATGTGATTGAATATATGAACTTATGTTAATGGCAAACTAAGGAAAAAAAGTCTAAATGTGCTCATTGTCATATTAACTAAGGATTAAGGAACTTGAAATCAATCTGAAATTTCTGCATGCCGTCAATATTCTGAATTGAATTGATTCCAACAATTTTGACATTTAAAGGCTTAGTCATGTGAATGTTCATTGCATTATGTTAACTGACAGATTTTTATTGGCGGTGGCAGCGTGCTTCATATATTATCATAAAATTTGGTATAAAAATGTAATTTGAGGGATGACTAGAACTCATCTGTGGTGATTTTCTGGCCCAAACCCTTCTCCCTCTCTCTTCTCTCTTTTTAACTTATGGCTAATATCATAGTCACTGCAATTGAAAATATAATGTGCAAGGAAAAACCAATGTCTAAATGTGCTCATTTTTTATGTTAACCAATGGTTCATTTGAGATAAAATTTTCACAGCTTTGCTTTTTAGTAATTTTGCTGCAGCTTTGCTTTTTAGTAATTTTGCTGCAATATGTCATGACCCGATTCGGGAGCTTGAAAATTCCAAAGCAGAAACAGAGCGACCGAATGTTTGCACTATATCATTCTAACATTCACAAAAATTCACAATAATGAATTATCCTAATAAATAAAGAGCCAATAAATAACATAATAAGTAAAACTTCATCCAGACAAAGCACATAAGAACATCCAGAGTAAAACAATACTAAAAGAAAATAAACTAAACTTAAAAATGCTACTATATGATACCTATTCTCGATTGATTCCCTCTTCTTTTATAGACATGCTCTCTTCTTTTAGTTAATGTAATGCATCGGAGTTTTTCTTGGAAAAAGTATTTTAACAACAATGCAAGTTTAAAAACAATTTAGTGAATTTTTGTAGTTCTATTATGTATTAAAGCCATGCATATACTCAAACATTGTTGAATTCTAAAAATGAAAAAAAAATTATAAAACCTTTAAATAATTGTATTTTTTTTATTAGAAATTTAATAACATCTTTAAATACATCTTCATTTTGAAAGTCCTCTTAGGAGTACAGTCTAAAATTTTGTACCAGTAATAGCACAACCATTTTAATTTTCATTTCGATTTTTTTTCACGAGTATAATAACGTCACAACTAGTATCATAAAGGGGTGACTCCTGTTTGACTTAATTTTGTCTTTATTTGATTTCATTTTCTTTCTTTCAATTAATTTGATTATACATTAATATTTTTAGCTTATGATACATGAATAATTAAGAAAAAAACATGTTACACTGTGTGGATTATTCAGAATTTAAATTTTCAACGAGGCTATCAATGTTTGAAAAGATTAAGCAATTCAATTGTGATTTTAATAAAATTAAAGCATGCCTTTATACATACAAGAATTATAATTAGTATGAGCAAAATTGTAAATACTCATCTTACGTGTATTGATTAATCTATATCCTCCACTTTCTCTAGCCTAGTAACTAACCACACTTTTTTTTTTGTTTAATCATAATGTTTTCAACATGATATTACATTATATTCCTAAATTATAGACTGTATTTAATTTTTTAAAATTCAACTTCAAGTTAGTTATATAAAATATATATTCGATTTAATCTCGTTAAAGTATGGTGTTTATTATTAAATTTCTTATCTCACATTTCTTGTTCCTTAGTTAATCCATTGACACTCCCAATTGATCACATCCATGTTAAGAAATGGATGAAATATTGTCTTATTTTGAACAACAATGTTCGGTTCCAGTTGATATCTGATTATATCTTAATGTTTAGTATAACAGTATACTCAAGTGTTAATAAGTTATAATTACTCTCAAGTTTTATTTCATCATAAAATGCTCGAGTGTCATCATAGTCCTCATATGAGTCATCATTATAATGTTCACCATCTATCTTAACAACTGCATTCAGCCATTGGTTGAGGTTCCTACCATTCATTTTAAGTGCTCATCCATTGTTTGAAATTTGGCTTGTGTCGTTCATATAGTTTGTATGGTTCATTGGATTCTTATTTAAAGCTATTAAGGTTTTCCAACATTTAATCCATGTGAGGTAAGGGTGCTTTACACTAGAAAATTTGGGTCCATATATCCTGACTCACATTTGGTCAGGATGGGTTCTATAACCATCATGTTTGCTGAAAGTACTGTAATATGACTAATCAATCAAAATATATATTGAACTCATCTCAAAGCATGATTTACGCTTGTATAGTTCATTTCATGTTCAATTCTTTTTAATCGCTTGTATTCATTTTGTATGCCTTTGAAATATTTAGCAAACTAGTAGGAAAAGCTCTCTACTAGCACTGGTTGATGACAAGCTCAAAAGCATTTTTTTCAAGGCATACATTTCATTTTGATCTACTTGGTATACGTGAGAGGAGACAATCTATGACTGCTAATCAGGTTTTCTGGATGTTAAAACTTATGATAAAAAATGGTCATTAATTATCAAATTTTACCATGTGAAACCTTAACAAGATTTTGAATTCTTTGCAAGCACAAAATCTTTGAGTCGTGTTTATCTAATATTTTATATACCTTCTAAAAAATTTATCCTAAAAAAATTTGATTAGTGTTCTACAAAGCTAAGCGAGGATTTTTATTGTCCACATTGTAATTTTGTTACGATAATTGTCAGTAAAGAAAGGTTACAATTAGCTTTGATAATATAGAAGATGGGGGGAAAAAGTTTAAGAGGTAAGGGGTTAAGAGTGCTTGTTATGCTAGTTCAAAGAGGAGATCATAGATCTTTTGGATGAAACAAATAGTGTTGTTTTAATTTATAAGAGAAGTTGAGTGGAGGCATTGATGATGAGGGAGGATCAAGTGGTGGAGCAAAGCAAACGTAAGAGTTGGGCTTGGAGACAGTGACAAACCTTGTGGACTGTCAAGATTTGGGGCTTCTTCATGTGAGTAAGATGCATGTGTTCTGGCTGATTAGGGAGAAATTTGAGTGAAGGAGTAGTGGATGGGTATACCATTATATATTTTCAATGCCTTTTTGTGATAATCAATAAACATCTTATGGGATTCAATTTTTGCTTATGGGAATAAAATTCTAAGGGAGGGTATCTCCTTGTTTGGTTGTGAGTTTTAATTTACAGTTCTTTTTACTTCTCTCTCTCTCTCCATCTAATTATATTTATTATTCGTTGAAAGCACAATTCATTTTCTTATATTTAATTTAATTTTTTCTATTTTACATGAAATTTCAATTTCATCATGGTTTTTGTGATCTTTAACTTTAATTTTTTTTTAATTTCTTGCAAAAGCTATTGATTCATGTGAATTGAGTTTTATTATTTTGGTCTTCGTTGAAGGAAAACACCAGTTCTTTAAATTTTTTGTTCTCTTGCCAAAATTGCATGCTCGCTACATTGATTTCTTGCATCTTAATCTACATTGCTCGCTAGTAATGCATTGGGCTCAAGCACGCTTATATCAATATGTTTTGGTCACTTTTTGTTGCTTTTAGTCACCATATTGTTTCAGTGTAGCTTAAGAAATCGTATGAGTCGGAATTTGTTTGACGTATTTAATATTTTATTAATGTATTTGCTCGATAGTTTGATTTTTTTTTATAAAGATTACTAGATTACCCAAAAAAATTCAAAAAAAAAAGGGATTCAACTTTTTATGTGGTCAAATTAGAATAGGGGGTGTGACACGGGCACTAATTGCACCCTTCTCGTGGGGTGCTAACAGAGCCCTAATACGGGCGCCAAAACAATGCCCGGGGTACGGTCACTAAACCAACACCCGATGCGGGTGCTAAGCCGCAGAGGGCCAACCCGTAGGAGAAGTCTTGCGAAGACGGGAATAGGAGCGAAGCAGGGACAGGATTGTGAACTATCACGATCTCAGAAGGAGCATCGCGAGGCTACCACACCCAGAAAGCGTTTTCCGGATTCTTCTTGCCTTCTTCATCCCTTCATTATGTATAGAAGTTTCCTGGGAGTCTATAAATTGTTGTCCTCTGTATATGGTAGGCAATTCTTGTAATGTTTCATTTCATTTAGCGGGAGAAGAACCAAAACGTCAAATAGAGACGGAAAAGAAAATGAAAAAGTGAAGTAGAGGAAACGAGGATTCAGAACGCCAGAGAGGGAAGGGTAGCCGAAAAGAGTTATTTTTCGTGTATAAATCCACATATTAGAGAGGGGGACGGTAGAGGTGAGAAAGTACGTAAAGATCGAGCGGCTCGACAATGAGTGTCTTGGTCGATCAAAGGAAGATGTGGGAGAGGAAGCTTGCGGGACGTGCGAATTGTAAGAAAGAAGAGTGTTGTGTGTGAGCTGAAGCCAGAGATGAGCAGCGGAAATGGGGCTTCAACTGCTGTAGAAGCTTTTGCTGGAGGAAGAGTCGAAGCATTTGAACCTTGCCAAATGTCGAAGAAAAAAATGAAAGGGATCGTTTGCGGGTGCTGAACCAGGCTGAAGCTTTTCTAAAGTAAGAATATATATATATATATATATAATTATACAATGTCCTTGGTGTTGGTGGCAGGCTGCTTTGCTAGGGTTTCGTCCGATGACAATTCCCTGGTTTGATCCTTCGACTTTTCGGAAGTTCCCGTACTTGACGACAAATTCTGCTTTCATTTTCCGCAATCGTTGACTCCTGTCCAACGGATTCTGCGGCTTCGTCGTCTCTCCCTCGCGCTAGCTTCTGCGTGGATTTTGTCGAGCTGCAAGTTCTGCGGCTCATCTTTTTACGTCGACCTCGTCGAGCAGCTATGACTCCTCCGCGACTCGTCACTGCGTTGACCTCGTCGAGCTACGACTGTGGTTTCGCCTCGATCTCCTCGACTCCCCTTTGTCCGACTTGGTAGAGCTTCTCCGGAGTCCGCTATACTTGTGTGAAGCATGTTCATGGCCTCAGGGCTATCCTACGTTGCTGCCCCCGCCGGTAATAATCTCATGCCAAACCCGCCGATGCTACAGTGGTTCACAAACGCAACTCCCCTTTCAATCTTGCAGATAGTCTGATGTTCCCGCAGATGTACCATGATTCTGTTGCAGGACATTAAGATTGCAATCTCATAAAAAATAGAGAAAAAGGCAGACAAGCCAACACTATTATTCTGTGACGCTGAAATTTTAACTCGTGCAAGAAAATACTAATTTTTACTAGTTGGAAAGTTTCAATTAGGTCGCTCTAAGATGGAGATGATCATAAAGATTTTTGAAGATTTCAAACTAGTTGGAGCTTGACAGGTGGTTCTTTTCGACGGAAGACATGTTATGATACATTTGAGCATAAAAGAAGATTACACAAGGATTTTTTCTAAGAAATTCATCACAATCGAGGGCAATCATATGAAATTGCTCAAATGGACCCCTGATTTTGATCCCAGTCAAGAACCCCAATTGCACCTATCTTGTTCTCATTACCTGAACTCAAGCTTCAATTCTTTGATCTACTTACCTTATATGCAATTAGGACTATCTTCGGAAAATTTTTGCAGATAGACACACCTACAGTTCATTTCTTTAGGTCCTCTATTGCAAAAATTTTGATTGAAATATATATTATACTACTAGATGTAGAAGAAGTCTGATTTGGATTTGCTCATAATGGTTATTGACAAAAAATTATTATAGAACAAAAACATTATTACTGCAAGCACTGCAAGATGTTTGGACACCTGCAAGAGAAATATTTTAGATTGCACTCATAGTTGAGAATCAATAGTCAAAAATAGAAACATGATGTTAGTGCACCTCACGCGCCTGAACGCACTCCCAACAAAACTGATGACACTAACCTGAGGAGGGAATCACCACAAGACAGGAAATGATATCTGCCCCTGGGAACCCTTTTTCTGACCATACGATAAAGATAATGTTTGCATCGAAACTCAGGATAGCCCCACAGCTCCTATTCAGAAAGCATCAGATGTAGATGTGACAATTCACACTTCACAGACACTGGAACCTATCGCTGTGACAACGGCTGCCTTTCCTTCTACTGCGGTTCTAATATCTAATCAGACCGAGGATCACATGAGCTAGTCTTCAAATGAAGAATGACATGTTTACACTTCGTGAAGGAAGAAGAAGATTGGGGGCACACTCCAACTTGAAAACTTAATGGACGGTACTTTGGTTACTCCTGACAATGACACGATACTTCAAAGTTTGTTATCTGACTCTGCTCTTAAATGTAGAGGAAGAGACAGGACTAAAATGTCTCTTCCCTAACTACTTGTTTTCTGCACGTTTTAAATTTTTTGAGTCTATATGTATCTTTTGTTGGGGTAGTAATATACTTGGTATAGTATATGTTAGGTGCCTTTCTGGGTAGCAAATTATAGATCATTTCATTTTAATTCTAAATAGCATACATGTACAAATCTTTCACATTCCTTTCGAAATGATAAAATTGAATAATAAACCAGAATAATCATATTCTAGTTGCAATAACAAGATATATTGGCTAATGATATTTTCATGGGAGTGATTTAGAAGAAACGCAGCAATAATACCATAATTTAGAAGTAAAATCACTCACTTCAAAGTTGTATGACTTGTTTTAAACATGTTTAACTTTGCCTCCAACAATTAGCTACCTATAATATCATAAAAATATTATCTTAGGCATAATATTGATTATGTTTAATTAATCTCTTAACTAGCTTCATTTTAAGTATTAATGTTACTTTAATTTGACTATCAAAATCTCAACTAAATCAACATTTATGCTTTATTCAATATTCAATAAATGCCCGCTCAAATTTAAATGAGTAATTGTAAATTTTATTTTCATATTTCAAATAAATCTTTCATATTTATTATTATAATATATATATATATATATATATATATTATAATAATAAATATGAAAGATTTATTTGAAATATGAAAATAAAATTTACAATTACTCATTTAAATTTGAGCGGGCATTTATTGAATATTGAATAAAGCATAAATGTTGATTTAGTTGAGATTTTGATAGTCAAATTAAAGTAACATTAATACTTAAAATGAAGCTAGTTAAGAGATTAATTAAACATAATCAATATTATGCCTAAGATAATATTTTTATGATATTATAGGTAGCTAATTGTTGGAGGCAAAGTTAAACATGTTTAAAACAAGTCATACAACTTTGAAGTGAGTGATTTTACTTCTAAATTATGGTATTATTGCTGCGTTTCTTCTAAATCACTCCCATGAAAATATCATTAGCCAATATATCTTGTTATTGCAACTAGAATATGATTATTCTGGTTTATTATTCAATTTTATCATTTCGAAAGGAATGTGAAAGATTTGTACATGTATGCTATTTAGAATTAAAATGAAATGATCTATAATTTGCTTGCATGTGCATGACTGACTATGAAACATCCTTTGATGATAGTAGTAGGGGAACACTAATGTACCCGTGCACGTAAATAGAAAAAGAATATTGATATTGATGTGTCTTAATTGACACAAATTTTTTGATGACGTCTCCTATGATGATTGTATAGACATGAACTGATATTAATATGATAATGATATAACATGCCAAAAATTTATGTTAATTTCTAAAGAAGATTAACTGACATACATATTGTTCTTTCATTTTTTTTATAATGCTGTAGTTTAGAAATATGAGTTATTCACTTGTTCGTTTTGCTCACATATGTTTAACTGACTTTTCAATATTTAATTAAATATTAAAAGATGAGCAATAAATGAGAAAATATTTATAGAGTATGTGGACAACTATTAACGAGATAATTTTAATTATACAACTTTAATTTTATTTGTAGTGACTCTTTCATTTGTTAAATTGTAAACGAATATAGAAAATTTAATTCACACAATCCGACCGTCTTTACCTGCCTTGGTTAATTCTAAGCCACGGGCCGTGTCGTGACAGTTCTTGCTGTGTTTGTTTTCAGATCTCTTGTGTTGAGTTTTTTTCTCTGTTGTAGGGCTGTATTCGAGGAGGGTGATGCTCCGACTATATCATACTCTGAGGTGGTGTTGTATCACTTCCTTTCATCTTCCCCAATCCGTCTCCTCCGCTCTCCTTAGCTGCCAGCCTCTCCCCTCCTTCATTTCTAACACTCAATTGCCCCATATTTGCAGCTTTAACTTGTTGTCCAGCCATCCTCCCTCCTTCCGAGCACTCCCAACAGACCGTTCCTTAATTTGCTGTCTCTGCAATTCTAAGCCACGGGCCGTGTCGAGCACCACAAAAGAAATCCGTGCTACTGACCCCTTGTTGTCCAACAGACTGTTCCTTAAATTGCTGTCTCTGCAATTATACACTTTCCTCCTTGCTGCCACCCCCCGCTAGCCATCCCGACCTACCTCGCCGGCCTCCATCACTTTTGGAATACACTTGAGACGTGTTTCCTTGTGTCATTTTGTGTTTTGTGTTGTTATTTCCCATTTGTGTCATGTTGTAATCCTATTTGAATATTAGTGAAAGTTTGTTTTTTTGTGTTTCCACAGTTTTTCCTACTAGTTCCGATATAGGTTGTTTCATATACTTTTTCTTCAGGAGTGTTTGAATGGTTTACCTTCTTAAGATGTTAAGGCTTTAGTTTAAATGTAGGTTTCTCTTGGCAAAACAATCATTTTTTTAGTTTTTTTCTTATCGTAAATTTTTCTTGTTGTAGCTTTAGGACAAAATCTTTGCCCAGCACTAAAATATTTGTTCAATTGTGAGATTTGAATCAATGCACGTCTCTTCTGTTTCTTATTTACTTTTGAGAAGTATGCTTATAAAACTTCAGCTTAAAACTTTGATGAATACTTTCTCTATTGCCTATTTGATGTGAAAATTTTTGTTTTTTAGTTGTCATCATGTCTCCAATGATGTACCATCTCCATGTAGGGTCATAGTAACCTGAAACCATTTTGTCCTCCAAAACCTGAAGATTTAGCAACTATCTGCTACACAAGTGGGACAACTGGCGTGCCGAAGGTATGTTGTTTTGAATTCCATTACATTATTCTAGTAAATGTTATTTCAGTAAAAATACTTAAATGTTGTTATTTGTATTATATGTTCTCATTAGTGTTGTCAAGAGCATTATGACATGCCTCATTTTTTATTATTTTTTCCAGCTACAGAATGGCAGGTTTGTTTTTTTTATGTATTATATTTTAAATATCTTTCCTAAGCCATGGTATGCTATCGTAGGGTGTAATGCTCTCTCATGAAAATTTGATTGCAAATGCTGCTGGATCTAGTCTTGGTGTGAAATTTTATCCCACTGACGTGTGAGTTTCTTTTGTTCTATAATAGTTTTGATCACAGTTGGAAGCTTCCTTAGTGTAGGTGTTGCATCTGTGCAGATATATTTCCTATCTTCCATTGGCACACATATATGAGAGGGCGTATCAAATTGCGTTGGCATATTTCGGAGTTGCTGTTGGATTTTATCAAGGGGTCAGTAGCACGGATTTCTTTTCTTCTTTAGTGCAGATTTATGTTCTAAAGATGTACACGATTTATTTCTTTCTCCTCATTAGGATGTTATTCTATACATCTTTTAATGCTTATTGTGACATTATGCAAATTTTTTACCATAGGTTTATAATCTTCTGGCCTTGACATCATGCAGGGAAACCAATGCCTGATTGTTGGAATATTTTTGTAAAATGTCCTTTTGCTTGTCATAGCTTTTATTTGCAATTTTAATATTCTTTTTTTTCTCAGTATCAGAAAACCATGGTTATTCATGTGCATCTCTGTCATAAATTTTGGTTTGTCTTCAGTGAAACTTAGATTTACCGTATCTTGTTGAAGGATATTATCTTTAACATAAATTATTTGATTTTGCTACCAAGATTCAAGAGCAAATGGATATAAAGGTGGATTTGGACCCACGGTTAGTCTTCTTTCTTGTGAGTTTGAGGTGTTCATGCTTCCTCGCCACCAAATCAATTTCTGCATGTTTTAATTCTTCCCAAATCTCGCATTGACTTTGCATTGGCAGGATTGCATGTACTTCTAGATGTGCCATGACAACCCGAAGTAGCTTTTTTGCCTAGTAGCATAGCTCATTTTGCTTTTCATCCTCAGTCATGTGTGTTGTGCTCGTGTGCTTTCTGATGCTTTTCCCAGCATTTTGTACTTGCTTGAGTGTCTTCTTTCTGTTGTTCTTCTGGCTCGTTCGTTGCATATGGAATTGTTGCTGCAGTTTGTGTCATTCCACAATTGCTTTTTAGTTAGGATTGCTCTTTTCATTTTGCCGCTTGAGGATTTCTGCATCATTTTGGTGCTGCAGCTCTTACATGTGCATCCACGGTCTCTACCTCAGTCATTTGTTGTCGGCGACTCGTTCGAGTTCCACTTGCACCTTCCATTGTGGAGTTTTTCTTCCATCAAGCCCCTTGGGGGAATTCTAACCCCTTTTGGGATTTGGAGTCGTGGATCTGTCTCATTTTTCACTCTTAGGGACTCATCTCCAGATGTATCTTTTGATTGTCTGATGGCAATAATCCTTTCTCTTGTTCTCCTAGAAATATTTTTGTATAACGATTCTCCGCCTCCCATGTTATCACCTCCATTCTTGTTTGCTGATGTTGCTAGAGGGGTGGGGGTTCATAGATGGATCTGTCTTCCTTCCCTTTATTCTCTTAAAATAACACATGACATTTCAGGAAAATCCTGCTTTTATTTTTTCAAAGGCAAAAATTTTCTATATGCTGACTATTTTTTTCTACAATTTGGTGCATTTTGTTTTTTGAGTTTGTAGATAATTCACATATTCACGGTTTTTTTTTTGTTTGGCTGTGATTTCACTGTTGTATTTATGGATTGCGGTCACTTACTTATTAAACTCGAAGAGATTCTCTTGATGGTCAGATTATGTTAATGTTTTACTGATGCATCATGAGTGCACTGAAATGTGTTTGATACTTCAATGGACTGTATTATTACCCTAGTTTGGGTTGTATTCCCTCACCTTTATATCCACGACATCAGCAAATCTAAATTATACTCTTTCGGGATCAACTTTTGAAATATCATTTCAAATGCATGCTGCTACTACCAGATTCTCCTAATCGTTTGTTGCTTTGGTTTTTGTTGATATCGACATTTCAAGTGATTTGTTGAGGCATATATGGATTGATACTTCTTCAGATGGTTCTTGGAACAAAGTATTTATTTGTTGATGTTTGAAATCTTTAGTCATGATTATTTGAAGCATATCTTGAATTGAGAATACCCTCTTCTATGGGCCTTCCTATTGGGGATTGCCTGTTTGATTGTAATTCGGGCTCACATGATGTTGCTGTGGTTATTTCTTATGGTCAATTAGGGCCTTTTAACTTGCTGGGTGATCCCTCCACCCAGTTCCCTACGGGATATTCTTAAACTTGAAATGCTCCAATTTGTTCTCTTTAGTTTGTTTCTTCAATTGTTTTTATAGTTTTGTTGGCGGTCCCATCCTAGCTGTTCATCTCAGGTTTCATTAGATATTTATGTCCAGCATCATGAAACTTCAACAGCCATGCCTGTGAGAACATGTCAGCATATTAAGGTTTCAGGTGGTACCTAACTTTCATAAGATATTTGTGTCGGGCATCATGAATCTTTAATAGCCATGCCTGGGAGCACTTGTCTAATTTCTTGGCAGCGCAGGTCTGGTTATTGTGGTTTCAAGTGCTACCCCAACTTTTTCTTGCCCTTGTGATGTTAAAATTGTGTTCCCCAATACTCCTTATGATAAATTTTTGGAAGATTTACGTACATACCACTCAATTCTTATGTATGTGCATATCTAACACCTAAACTTTAATATTTACATACATGTGATCTTTCCTATGTATTCAAAGTGTCTTTCACTTTTAAAAGTTAAAATGGTGGTATGCTTGATGTGATAGAAATATTTGGGTGGTATAAATGTAAAAATTATAGTATAGGTGTAAGACAGGTAAATACATAAGAATTAGGTGGTATGTATGTAAATGCCCCTAATTTTTTTTAATTTTGGAGGTTAGGGCTGTCAAAAAAGCTCCTTGTTCGCGAACAACTCGTGTTCGGCTCGTTTACTTAGTAAACGA